AGCCAAATATCAACAGTACAACGATTGAAATTTCTTTTGAGAGCCAAATTTTTTAAACTTAAACTCTATAGGTAGGTACATTGTTATTAACTTAATTAGGGTACTCCTAAGGCTTAGGAAGAGCCACACTCAAGGGGCCAAAGAGCCGCATGTGGCTTGCGAGCCACAGTTTGGATCTAGCCACATGAATAAAAGACTGCTATTATAACCCAATACCTATTTTCTTCCTCAGTAATTAAATTCTGAGTTTTAGCTAAATATGTGGGAAAGGAATAAGGATCTTTCCCAGCCTCCCTTGCAGCTATGTGGCTGGATTTGGGTCAATGGGATATAAGCCATGCCCTTAAGAGAAGAAGTATGGCCCTTTCCCTTTCCTGCTGGTTGGAATGTGGAAACTAAAAGCTGAAGGAGTCACTTGGATCACTAGGTAGAAAGTGTCTGGTGGAGGATGACAGCACAAGATGGATAGAGCCAGGTCCAATAGCTGTGAAACTGCCAAACCTGGACTTTTACATAAGAAGCTTCTTTACTGTTTAAAGCACTGTTGCACTGGGTTTTCTGCCCCTGAGGCAGTTTTACCTAACCCTAATATATGATACCATTCTGCCATATTCTCCATTCTCTGGACTCTGGAGTCATGCATGTGATTCCCACTGCCTGGAACACTGCTAACACCTTCTGCACCGTCTGCTTTCATCTTCAAATCTGAGCTGAAATGTTACTCTCTCAGGTAAGTCTTCCTTGACTCCTTAGATGAGGTTAAATATTCTTGCTATTTTTCCCTTACACCTTCCCTTGGGTAATCCTCACCATGCCTATAATTGCTGGGTTAATGTGAATCTCTTTCGGTATTATATACTCTTTAAGGACAAGTATCTGCTTTGCCCACTGTCATCCAAGTGTTTGGCACTCAGTATATGCCCAACAAATATTTGTTCAATAAACAAATGAATAATGTCATAGCCCTTGCATAATTTCTGGACCACACCTTGAGTACTTCCTGGCCTTACATTACAGGACTCCTGTAAACTTCACCTGTAGTTCTATTCCTGTCTAACAATCTCACAATGTAAACACTATTTCTCTACTCTCTCTCTTGGACAATTCTGAAATGTGTCAAATCCTTCAACAGATCCACACAGCTCTTTCTTACACAGCTTCATTTTCTTATAATGTACCTAGGACTAGAGTGGAAAGAATTATGGATATTCTTGGAGTTTTTAAAAAAATGGAACAGCAATTTTGAAAAAGAAGAACAAAGTTGAAAATATCATGCTATCTGATGTCAAACTATATTACAAGGTTATAGTAATCAAAACATCCTGGTACTAGCATAAAAACAGACCCATAGATTAATAGAACAAAGTAGAGAGCTCAAAAGTAAACCCACGCCTTTCTCTTACCAATATTTTTTTCTGTTTGTTTTTGATTTATTTTAAATATATTTTTTTATTGATTTTTTACAGAGAGGAAGGGAGAGAGACAGAGAGTTAGAAACATCGATGAGAGAGAAACATCGACCAGCTGCCTCCTGCACATCTCCCACTGGGGATGTGCCCGCAACCCAGGTACATGCCCTTGACCGGAATCGAACCTGGGACCTTTCAGTCCGCAGGCCGACGCTCTATCCACTGAGCCAAACCGGTTTCGGCACCAATATTTTTTTCTAATGTATTCCCTCAGACAAGGGAAACAAAAGAAAAAATAAGCGAATGGGACTACATCAAACTAAAAAGTTTTCACACAATACAGGAAACCAGCAACAAAACAAAAAGACAACCTACTGAATGGGAGAAGATATTCAACAATGATATGTCTGATAAGGGAATATGTGTGTGTGTGTGTATGTGTGTGTGTGTATATATATATATATATATATATATATATCCAAAATTTATAAAGAACTCCTACAACTCAACACCAAAACAAACAACCCCATTAAGAAATGGGCAGAGGACCTGAATAGACACTTCTCCAAAGAGGATATACAGGTGGCCAATAGACATATGAAAAGATGCTCAATGTCACTAATCATCAGAGAAATGCAAATTAAAACCACAATAAGGTATCTCTTCACACCTGTCAGAATGGCTATCATCAATAAATCAACAAATAACAAGTGTTGGCAAGGATGTGGAGAAAAGGGAACCCTTGTGCACTATTGGTGGGAATGCAGATTGGTGCAGCCACTATGGAAAACAGTACAGAAGTTCCTCAAAAAATTAAAAATGAGCCCTAGCCAGTTTGGCTCAGTGGATAGAACGTCGGCCTGCAAACTGAAGGGTCCCGGGTTTGATTCTGGTCAAGAGCACATGCCCCGGTTGCGGGCTCAATCCCCAGTAGGGGGCGTGCAGGAGGCAGCTGATCAATGATTTTCATCATTGATGTCTCTCTCTCTCCCCCTCCCTTCCTCTCTGAAATCAATAAAAAAATATATTTTAAGAAAAAAAATGAAACTGCGTTCAAAAAAGAAAAAAAGAAAAAAATGAAACTGCCTTATGATCCACCAATTGCACTTTTGGGTATACATCCAAAGAAATCCAAAATACTAATTCGAAAGAATATATGCAACCCTATGTTCAACTGCAGCATTATTTATAATAGCCAAGATATGGGAGCAACCCAAGTGCCCATCAATAGACTAGTGGATAAAAGAGCTGTGATACTATATACAATGAAATATTCCTTGACCATAAAAAAGAATGAAATCTTACCATTTGTGACAGCGTGGATGTACCTGGAGGGTATTATACTAAGTGAAGTAAGTTAGAGAAAGACAAACACCATATAATATATTACTTATATGTGAAACCTAAAGAACAGAATAAATGAACAAACAAAACTGAAACAGACTCACAGATAGAGAACAGACTGATGGTTGCCAGAGGGAAGGTGGGTTGGGGGACTGAGTGAAAAAGGTGAAGAGATTAAGAAGTACAGATTGGTAGTTACAGAATAGCATAGGGAATATAGTCAGTAACATTGTAATAATTATGTATGGTGCCAAGAAGATACTTGAAATATCAAAATGCTTTGTAAAATATAAGACTATCTAACCACTAGCTGTACACCTGAAACTAATACAATATAACATTGAATGTTACCTGTAATTGAAAAAAAGAAAAGAAAACCCTCACTCACTATTATGACCAACATTTTCAAGAGTTGGGATGACTTACAGGTCTTTTTTAAAGGAAAATATAAAAAAACATACAAACCATATTATCTGAATCTGGCCAAGTACAGGAAAACATTCTTAAAATATTTTACAAGCCTTTGGATCACTTTTTTATGGCATTACAAGTAGCTGTCAATTTACTGCTTTAGGTACTCACACTTACTTCACTGACAGCCTACATGGCTTATTTATTTCAAAAATTAAGCACCTTTTTGTTATAACATTGTGGAGTTAAATAAAATAGAGTCCCAAGAAGGAGGTAATGGAGATAAGACCAACAAAAATCGAGAGACACGAGTAGCAGTCTTCAGTTTTGCCAATGATTTACTGGGTGACCCTGGGTCAGATCTCTTTTAGTAACAATCCAAGTTCTCTTCTTAACTCTAAAATGAAGTGTTCAGTACACATAATTCCTTAGGTCCTCTCCAAGGAAAATATTTTGTTGCCATATCGACTGGCTGTTAATAATTTAATAGAGGTGACATTGGTAATTATGCCAAAAACTATAATTACAAGTATTCACGGGAAATCTGGTATCTGCCTGTAAGTTTTAGGCTCGATGAAGGTTTAAATTAGTCTAAAATATGGTTCTTCAGAGATCTAAAATCAAATGTGTACTTGGAAACGCTAGTTTTTGCCTGATGAGAATGGCTTTTAGAATGTGTTTTTCCAAGGTATGTTATTCTCCTCCCACATTCGTTAGGCGCCCACACTGGATTCAAAAGGTGCTCGGTACAACCCCCCTGGCCAATAAAAAAACAATGGGTTCTCCGGCACTCCCTGGATCACTGTGCCTCCCTTCCCTTAAGCTGTTCTGGAGCCTGATAAGAAAGCTCCAGGGAGCGGTGGATCCAGCGTCCGGCAACTGCACAACCGTCTGCATTACAACATCTGGTCTCGTTCCGTTTTTCAGAGCAAGGTCTAGTCTAGGCTTTCCACATTTCTATGCAAAGTTAAAGCAATTTGTAGCCGCTCTGGTCGCGAACAGCCTGAAAGCACC